AAAAAATAGGAGCAAGCATCTGTGCATCATCATTGATAATCATATTGAAGGCCACATGATTTTCCCAATGACCATTTCCAGTTTAATATACTGATGTAACAGATTTAAGTTTAAAAGCCAGATTTGCGGACATAATCAACATTTTATGGTGACAAAAATATTTCACGAGTGGTCTGTTTTTTTTCTTTGTGAACTTAAATAGGTCATTAACTGTCTCATGAAAAGATTACATACAGAGAGCAAATTCTTTTGATCTCTCCATGTGTCACATCAGAAATTGTGACACCAAAATGGTTTTAACACAGACGCATGCTCCAATTTTCTTTTTTTAAGGAAGGAAGGCTGTTCCACTATTTTAAGTGCTGTAAAACTCTTGAATTTAAAAGTGATGATAGTACAAGGCTGTGCTTCTCTACATTTGTGCAGTTTTTATCACAAGCAAGACAATTTTGTATACTTTGGTGAAAACAACTATTGTGCAACCGTGACAATTCAACCTATAATTACATACAGAAGAGAAATGAATGAATAAGCAATAGCCGCTAAAGCCATTTGTTTGTCTCCAATTTTTAATTATAGGTTGATTTTATAATTATTTTAAAATACCACAACCAACAATGAAAACATACCACTGAGATATTCCAAAATAAGGTACAGTTTTCCTCCAGTTTGAAAAGCATAGATTAGGTCAACTATAAAAGGATGCTGCAAAAAATTAAATTTGATAGTGTTTTTAATATTCAAACTTAATCAAGTCAACTGTACATCAAGTAACCTTTAGTTAGTAGAATAGCGACAATGAAGTTGTGAAAAGAAATGGCTAAATGTCCTAACATATATGATTCAAGAGGCTTGAAGGAAGCTTGATCAAAATGAGGGAACGCACTTGAAGCAAATCACATTCCCTGCCTGCACTTCTCATTTACATTAGTCATCATGAAAAAAAAAATCATTTTCTGAGTAAAGAAATCTCTCGTATCAATACTAGTCACACTATGTTGTAGCTTACACTGCTTTTTCATTTGAAAACTTTTGAATGCAGCACATGTACAATTTTTTTTTACTTTACCCAATATTATCAAAAAAGGAAGATTAAAACACTCAAACTGCTTCTAAACCTTACGAACCAAAATCAAGTTTGAGCCACACTCATTACAGTCAATCATAGTCAAACTGAACCCAAAATTAACTCACAAGATTTCCATTATTTCTGAGTTATGCCTGTCATTACTATTTCACATCTTAGATGATTGCATAAACGATGTGGAATTTAAATAACAATATGTTAGCAAACCTTAGCCTTGAACATATGTTTCCAGACAAAGGATTGCTGTCATCAATGGGAAGTTAATGTTTTCTAACCAATTGTTATTTAAATTTGGTGTTCTATTACAAATTGAACAGAAACAAACCTTAACAGCTTCTAAAATATTTCTTTCAGCTTTGGTGTGAGCAGTGTCTTTGTGACTTCTTATAATGGCAGCCTAAAAAAAAAAGGACATGAGCTCCTTACCCAAAAACTGAACAACATACTGAACTATGTTTGTCATTAACTTACATGTAACATTTTAACCCTGCTTCTCAGAAAGCCCCCCCAAGTTTGGATTTAGTAAAAGTACATTCTTTAGTATCAATTTCCCAATACTTTAGTGAAAATTTCCTTGACTTGGTATGTAGTTTAAAATACAGATGTTTTTTTGTTCGATAACTTCACTTTCACACCAATTTACAGATTTCATAATAGAGAGTATTAGTTAATTTAATGACATTGGAATTTATGATTAAATTACATTCTGTATAAGACCAGACAATCCCAGGAAATAATTGCTCTTACTAATAATAGATGATGATATTTTTAATCTGGTAAGTTGCTTGTAATACTCTTATCAGGATCTATTTTGCAAGCTTTTAGACCATCCTGTAGAAGTCACATTATATCAATGAACCTGTGTAAATACCCTGATGTAAGTTTGATGTTGTTTAGAAAGGACATAATTTCCTTCATTTCAGACTTAGATGATGCAGTACAGCACAAATGATGTGTAAATTAAAAATCAAACAACTAAAAACAAGAAAGCAAAAACAAAATTAAACCACAACATGACCATTTGATCTACTATCATTTTCATCTAAGCATGGACACCTAATGAAAAAATATGACTGTTCTAACTGGGCGCAAACATGACATGTTTTGCCTCCAAACATTTGAAGTTTGAAGGGAATTTGAGCAAGATTTGCTGAAATGGCGGTGAGAATGGATATGAACCACAGTTTGCTCAGTGCTCTGATGTGCATTCTTGAAAGCAGGTAGATGTTGTTTGTCTCGCTGTAATATTGTTTAGCATACAGTACTTGTGTGCCATTGAACATTAAATACAAACCCTTGACTTATTTCACTTGTTTGAAGTATAGCTGTCATCTCTGACACCTCATTTCCTCAGTTCTTTAGCAGAGGAATGCCTGGTCTGTTTGAAGTTGTGCCCATGTTTATAAATCAAAAACATTAAATTATCAACAAAAAAGTGCACGTACATTCAAACTCGGACACAACTGTTTGGTTAATGGAAGTAAAACTTCAAATTTTTGGCTACCAAATATGTCATGTTTATATAAATTAGACCCAGTTAAAACAAGTTTTTTCGTCACACATCCACCCTTGGATGAAACTGATGAAATTCAAATGTAGGGCATTAATCGAATACAATCAATTCTAACATTGCTCTAATATCATTGGTTAATTCTTTTATCATGTTTAAGCATCCTATATACATTTATAACTGTACAGATATCCACTTGAAATACTTTTACCCACAGAAAGGGATTTTTTCCTTCAACTACCTCAGTATGCACCAGCATTCATTATGTGTCAACTACTGTTTGTTTCATGATCAAATGAAGGCAAAGGGCAATCTTGTGAGCCTCTCGTACAAGTGCATGTAAATGTATATCACTATATTCAAGGATTCAGAAAGATGTTCTAAAGACATAGTTGCATGATACAAATCTTGGCTGCCCTGCCCCCTCAGATAAAAGCCTCATCATAGTTCTTGTGAAAGACAATTTCCAGGAAAAACTAAAAAAATCTATAAACTTACAAGGGCAAATACAGTTGTACATGTACCTTCACTTCCTGTATAAACATTTAAAGAATTTGAAGAACCACTTTTAGAAAAGTGAAAATTGCATACAATTTATGGCTAAAGTTTAACCTTGACAACCTTAGAGGCAGGGGAGAACTTTTAGACAGCCAGTGATCTGGAATGATCACAATTTTGATTTTCTTTTCAGCATTAACGCAGGTATCATGAAGGGGGGTTACCAGAAAATACTCAACACAACTTTTATCACGTGAAATGGCAAAACAGGATCAATACAAATTAAGCCAATGTTACAAAGACCTCAACCAGTAATTCGAGCTTAACTCTAAATAGCTTATATTATTGTTAAGTTACATAACATGAAACTCGATCCAATCAACACAAACTCGAACCTTTTTCAACACTTTCATTGCGAATATTTTCCCCTTGTTCTGTCCATCCACTTTCCTGACTTGAAAAACCTGAGGAATAATATAAATTGCCTTAGATTATTTTTCCATTAGACCCAACACCACAACCTTCTCACAACATCACTATAGCAGTTACGGCCTTCTCGGTCATAATTATAAAGTTAACCTTAATTAATATTAGCGTTATCAAAAATATACCTTACGTACCTTCCCATATCCTCCTTTTCCAAGAACTTTGAGAAGTTCGAAACTATTTGGGCCTATTTTCTCATCTTTAGGGTTAACAGTCTCTTCAGAAATAGACAGTGTTTCCACTTCAAGCGAACTATGAAAGAGAAAGAACTGTGAGCTTACGCTAGTTTCAGTGACAAATGTCGGCTATGAAATGCTTCACTGATCGAGGACAAATTTCAAAATATACGCCGGCCGGTTCGCCGGTATGAACCCACCTTTCGTCATTTTCCATCGGTTCATCACATACCTGGCCCTACAAACAAAATAGTCACGATTTAATACTCGATAGTTGCGTTTCACAGTTGCCCACGGAATATAATTCGTTGTACGCAATTTCATCGCATCCTCTCATTCAAAACAGGCTTACCTCTTCGAATTCATCGTCGCTTAAATCTTCCTCGTCTATTTGATCGTTAATATCTAAGGGAAAGACTTCAGCCATCGTTGCATTGACTAAAACTTTAAAAAAAAGTAAAAACAATGTGTAAAGTTTAACTAAAACTAGGGTAAAATCTCGAAAACTTTTTGTATCGCCATTGCATTCCCACCAACAATGAGCTCATGGCGTACTCGCGCTTTCCGATTGGTGTGAAAACGCCGGTATCACGTGACATCTCGTGTGTTCCACATGAACTGCAAGTACAGACCAGTTCACTTCCTTGATTGGCCCATATAGTGAAAGGGCAGAGTTATCTGATTTTCGCTTCCTTCAGCTCAGAAATCTGTCCCAAGATTTTCCAACAGTGAAGAAGTATTGCTATCATGTGCAACGTTCTCTATAAATCGAATCAATATTTGTGATGGGAAAGCAGAAGGAATAGATTGGGTCAGCCACAGGAAGATTGAGCAGCAGGAAAGAGGAATTTCCTGAAAGGACCGGGAGAGGAAGAACATCTAAGCAAAAACATCAGACTTATTAATTAGTTATTGCTATTCTCATTTGAGCTAATTGCAGTCAGCTGGGAAGGTAAGAGGAAGGAAAAGCAGAAGGGGAAGTGGAAGTTTTGCAACACCTGCTGACCATCACCAAAAAAAATATTCTGCCAACAGGAGAAGTTTCTAGCAACTTCCAATATAGTCTAAAATAGGTAAAAAGGTCAAAAATAGCATTCTTTATTGCAATGCAATTGCATCCACTGTTCTCATTTTGCATAAAAAATTTAAAAAAAAAACTTTTCAGTAATGAGTTTCAAATGGTCCCAAACAGTTTAGTAGGCATTAAAACTTCCAAAATTAAAGAATGCTGCACCTCTTTCTGTGTTGTCATGGCAATTCATTTTGACATCCAAGAGAACTCAATTTCTTCATAAATTGGGAAAACTAGTTTGTGCTAAAAAGATTTTCAGGAGCTGTCATGGAATGCCAAAGATAGGAAGCTGATCTAAAAGTATGATGAGCCATGTTTAGTTAAGAGATCTAACTTTATTAACTCTATTTAATTTACTACTTATTTACATGTATCACTAACATTTCTCTGCCTCTATTATACATTCAGTAATGGTACGTTCAACATTTCCATCACATGTCACAAAACATTAAAGCAGATATCTGCTCAAAAGGTAAAGAGTCAAAAAA